GGTACCTGCATGATCAATGTTTATATACCTAACCCTGAATTGCACCCCACATCTTTATAACAAATAAATAAATTAATAAAAAATAAAATCAGATCCTTACTTTACAAGAGGGGTCCCCCAAAAACCCAGAATTTATTAATAAAAATGTGTAGGCTGGGCATGGTGGCTCAAGCCTATAATCCCAGCACTTTGGGACGCCAAAGTGAGAGACTGCCTTAGCCCATGAGTTCAAGACCGGCCAGGGCAACTTGGCGAGACCTCATCTCTACACCAAATCAAGAAAATTAGCCGAGTGTGATGGCGCATGCCTGTAGTTCCAGCTACTTGGAAGACTGAGGTGAAAGGATCACCTGAGTCCAGTAGGTCGAGGCTACAGTGGCCATGAGCGTGCCACTGCACTCCTGCCTGGGCGAGAGTGAGACTCTGACTCAAAAAACAAAATAAACAAAAACCCAGCCTCAGGTATTCCTTTATTATAACACGAACTGAACTAAGACAGTTGCTTGAAAGTTGAAATTAACCCTCAAGGTCATCTAAGGTGCAATCCAAATTATATCTCCCGCCACCACAGCAATTCAGGGCAACAAACTGGCATACCCAATATGCCTCAAATATGTATCTTTTCTAGAACTCATGTCATACCCCTTGCCCAGACTGCCAGGGTAGTTTCTTCTCTACTCATCTCACTTCCTCACGTACTCGGAAGGCTCACTGGAATGTCACTTTTAACCCTGTGCTCAGTGGAAAATGATCTCACTCCTCCCCTCCCCAGGTTCACTATGTTCTGTCCTTTGCTACTGCAGTTACTATTTTTAAAAGCATTTGTTAGGATAAACACAAAATGTATTTAAGATAAAAAGAATAACTATGTAGCAAACACTAGTGGATTAAACATCCAGTTTAAGAAAAAAGTTACCAAAACCTTTGAAGCCCTTGTTCCCCATCACATTATTTCCATCCCTCCTTCAGAATTATTCCTTCTAAGGGGCCATTGTGAATTCAGCAAGCCACTTGGGTGTCCCCTCTCAGGGGACGTAAAGAGACTGCTGGTGATTAACAAGGCAAACTTATGCCTGCGCAAATTTTTCAAAAATGTGTGTTTCCTTGAAGTTTTCCATTCAAATTGCATGAAAAAGCAAATAAAGAGATGGACCGTATACAGAGATATTTGTTAAATAAAAAAAAAAAACCACCTGGCGTTATGTACAAAGAGAATGTGTGAAGTGCTTTTCACAGTAGCAATAAAGAGCATTTGTCTAAGAAAGGCAACTATGGGTATATCCTTTGTATCACACAGCATAACTTGAAAAGATAGATAAGCACATTACTATAAACAAAGAGATTTTCGAAGTTGAAGGCAGACGGTATTGAAAATATCAAGCGATAGGGTAAGCATATCTGCACTGAGTCAGAAAAAAAAAATTGGAAAAGTAATATTCTCTTGATAAATTTCATTTCCTGATTTTGTAATTTACCGTTGTAAATTTTTAGACCATTTATTTAGTTTGCAGAAAAACGGCAAAAACAAAAAGACAAAAATGAGTTATAAGCAGCAGTGAAGATGAGTTCAATTTAGACTTTTCAGCCGAGAAAAGTAAACATTGATATGGCAGAAAACAATAGTAGCAATAGTGATAGCATCACACCAAGAGAAAACAGGCAAATGTAACAGAAAGTGATAGTGATGAAAGTTTAGTAGTTTCGAAGAAATGGAAGACAACCTATCGTCAAGAATGGGAAAATGTTACAGAAAAAGACGGTCCTCCAGTGAGAATAAATTTTGTTGTATATCCTCAAAGAACAGGAACACAAATAGCAAGTCATGTAAGATAATTGATTGACCACTCTACTCTATCTTTTACAAATGAATTAGCGGGCAGTGTAATAAAGGAAACAAATTGTTATATGGATGAAAATATAAGGAAAAAGTAGCTATCACACAAATCCATTTGACATAAGTGGCATGATGTTGACCAATAGGAATTTTTAGCTTTTATTGCAGCTATCCTAAATATGGGAATAATTCTAGTACCAAACTTGCAAGAGTGCTGGTCAACCACTTTCAATAGTAAAATACTCTTTGGAAACATTTAGTAGAGAAAGGTTTATGCAAATCTTCTGGGTGCTTCAGTTAAAGACACCTGCGTCAAGTGATGGAATGATCAGAACTCATATTCAAAAGGCCAATAATTACTTGGACTGTATCGATTCAAAATGTTCACAATATTTCATAACAGATCAGGCAATGTGTGTTGATGCATCCATGGTTCCATGTAATAGGTAAATACCATTTATAACATACAGTCCAAATAAGCCTACCAAATGGGGTATAGGCATTTATGCACTACCTGATTCAAAAACCAGGTATCTTTTTTCAGTACTTCCTTACTGTGGCAGCATAACATCCGAACACATCATTTGACCTGATCTCCCAGTATGCACCAGAATTCCATTACATTTATATAAAAAGTTGCTGGGGAAATTTCCCAACGCAGCAGGATACTGGTCATGCAGCCAGGATGGGCTAGGAAAACTTTAAGGCTGTGGGAAAGTTCCAAGTCCATTGATGCCTACAATAGCTGGTGAAAAACCATGCCTGTGAGCAAGACATCCTAGCTATAGAAAATTTCACATCTACCTGCTAGCCTCTTCTCAGATATACCTTCAGCACAGTAGTTGGCTATCCAGGATGCTTGTGCTAGGAAACCAACCACCAAGGCAGAAACTGGCTTAGAGACCACCTGGAGCATGCACATCAATTGCCAAGGTCCATCCAAAATAGTCATGACCTACATTTACCTTCATTATAATACTATTAACATAAAATTACCCTAGGGGAGCCTCCCACTCCCATCATACACCTGATGCCATAACAGTATCCATATGACCCTGTAAGGCCTAAAGCTCCCTAGCCCTATGTGAGGGAGGAGTAAGAGTAACTCAATTAAAAAGACCACCCATTTCTAGGAAAGACCACCTCAGAACACACCCCTCAATACCCCTAAGAATAAAAGTTATAGCTCAACAAATAGGCACAGAAGCAGCAGCTTCTGTTTTTTTTTGAATTGGAGTCTCACTCTGTCGCCCAGGCTGGAGTGCAGTGGCACACTCACAGGCACCCCAGCGTTGATCTGCTAGGCTCTGAAGATCCTTCCACCTCAGCCTTCCAAGTAGCCAGAACCATAGGTGCACGCTACCACACCTGGATAATTTTTTATTTATTGTAGAAATGAGGGCTCAAACTCCTGGACTCAGGCAATCTGCTTGCCTCACCGTCCCAAAGTGCTGGGATTACAGGCTGAGCCACCGAGCCCGGTCAGGCAGCAGCTTCTGCAGGCTGTTTCTGTCCACTCTCCCCTCTAGAGAGTGGACTCTTCTTTGCTTAATAAAGTTACTCTCTTGTCTTGCAGATTTGTGTGTCTGTGTGTGAATTCTTTCCAAACTTGAACACAAGAACCTGGTCATCAACATCAAACCATTGTCCCACACCAGGAACTGCACCCCTTCTCCCAGTAACAGATATCACATGTTTACTGATAGATATTACACTAGAATTGTCCTAGCTGAAAAAACATATTAAAGATGAAATGTCATTTTACTGGTACAAAGTCAAACAAAAGGGAATGCCAGCACAAATCAAAAAGTCAAAGTTTTTTAATGAAATAAACAGTAGCACATAGGAAAAATAATCTTACACTTCATGCATGGAAAGACAATAGGATTGTTACAATTCTTAGTACTTGAAATCATGCAGGAATGAAATCTACCACGAGGGCATTGCAAGTTGAAAATATATCGGTCAAAAAGCCTGAATGATTCTAAATTATATTGCAAATATGTGTGGCGTGGTTCATGCAAATCAATATGCTTTTACATATTTTTTGCAAAAATCTTAAAAATGGCAGAGGAAATTATTCTTCTGGGGACTGGAAACATACTGTCCTGAGCCTCCAAAAAAGAAAGAAAGAAAAAAGAAAAGAAAAGAAAGAAAAACGGGGGGAGGGAGATGGGATTAACGGTAGTAAATATCTGTCTGGGAATGGGGAAACATCTCTTATCAACAAGAGTACCTGAACGAAACGTGTTTGTATACCTAACCCTTAACTGTACCCTACAATATCACAATAAAAAATATTGACTATAAAAAAAAAGAAAGAAAAACCTATGTCTTATTTGAAATTTGTCAAGCACTTGATCAATCAGTTGAAAAGTGGTTTTCAGGACTCAAGAGTGTGCCCTTCCACATCATCTTTGAACAACAGACTGGACAAGAAATTATTATTATTATTATTATTATATAATATATTGTAATATTATTATAATATTATTATTATTATTAATGTGGGAGGAAGAAAATGAGACATCGTTGCTTGAATAGTAAAACACCAGGTGAAAGACTTCAAATAAATTACTACTGCACATGTATCAATGAACTTGCAATTCATGTGGGTGACTGTGTCACACATTACCATGTTACAAAAACAGATATAATATTGTGATTTTGTCATAAATAAGTTCCTCGATGTCCAAAATTCCATTATAGGCCAAATATCAAAATAATTGGTTCCACCACTATACTATTTAATATGAACTGATTTATTTTTCACTAACGTGTAAAAAATTTCAGTCAAGTTGCTGGTAGATAAAGCATGAGATGTCTCTGAGAGTTAATATTACTCATTCCTTTCTTCTATTGTCTTATCACATTTGTTTGGATTCTTAAGCAAAATGATTTCGTTCTGCATTTTCTGGAAGTTTATATAAGTGGAATTGTTCTGTATATATTTTCCAAAACCTGTTTTTGTTAGCTTATCATTACATTCCTGAGAGGTATGTTGTGTTATGTTACTGCATTTGGCTGTAATTCATTCCTTTTCAATATTACATAGTACTCCAGTGGGTGAATATCGTTTTTTCACTCCATTCTCCTTTGGATGGGCATTCTGGATGTTTTCTCTTCTTTTGGCTATTATAAACAGGGTTTCTACGAACATTCTTGTGGGTATGTATGAAGGATGGAATTGATGGCTTTGCAGGTATACATGTCTTCAACTTCACTAGATAACACCAAATTGTTTTCCCAAATGGTTGTATATAACTTATCTTTCATGGTTACCATATTTCTCCACTGGCTTGTAGACTATTTAAGGCAGAGAAAGAGCTTATAGCTTTTGGCCTAGAAGCAGTAAACACTGAATAAATATATACTAATTGATTTATTCATTAACAGTATAAAGAAGAAATTTTGAGAGCTGTTTTCTATTTTTAGAATGAAGAAATGAACCAGGGAAAAGTCAAATATAGGAATGTTTTTGAAGCAAAAAGATAAAGACCATTCTGCAAATATAGTAAAAATTTAAGTGGAAAAATGAGAACACAGTAAATACTTATTGATATTCCCTAGTGGATTTTGGGTAATTAAGGAAAAGGTACATATCAGAAGCAAGATGCTTTTTCAGAAGGGACATGAGCATATCAACCTTGTCTCTGGGTTCTTCTTCCACAGAGCCAAGTATTCCAGTATTTTAGATGTGTTAGGTCGGTCCTCAGGTTTTGTTGAGAGCAATTTCTTTAAAAGACTTTTCTGTAATGATAGTGAGAATCAATACTAAGAAAAAAGACACTGAAATAAATAAAATTCTGATGATTATTAAGTGCTTACTTCTCTTCTAGCAAATGTATCTGAGAAGATGCCATTCTTTAGATCTTCGATAATCTGAAAAATAAATACATATACTTATTAGAACATTATTTTGTAAATGTTTGATTTTTTTGTAGAGACAAGGTCTTGCCATGTTGCCCAGGCTGATTTCAAGCTCCTGGACTCAAGCGATCCTCCCAGCTCGGCCTCCCAAAATGATGGGATTATAGGCATGAGCCACCATGCCCAGCCTTGTTCGTTTTTATAACCCTCGCAACTTTTAGCACGGTGTCTTACACAAAGCAATGGATCAGTAACATTTGACTGATTGACTCAGGAGTCTTAAGAGGTGTACACACTTTCCAGAGAAGATCTACGCTTTTGGTCCTTAACAAAATGGCTACCAAAACTTGAAAGAGAAAATTCACATTTCATTTGCAGTCAGATACTGATCTGTTCAAGTCCATCTTCACACAAGAATATTAACTACAGCAGCACTTTGAAAGTGATGACCAAGAATTTTTGTTGCTTAATTATTTCTTTAAGAGTATTTACCTCTGCTGCTTCCGAAAAAGTATCACACATGTGAAGAAGTTCAGCAAGAATCAGCCCCAAAGCATAGATGTCCACTTCCTTTCCATATTCTTTTGAAGAAATCTGAGAAGACAAAACACATTTACCTTTGTTACTTTCCTTACCTTCCAAACCCAATAAGGCTATTTGACTCAAACATATTTTTATCACACAGCAGTGTCTATTTATTAGCAAGATCTGTAGAGTCTGACAGCCCACATGCAAACATCTACCACTGAATAACTGAATCTTCTGTGCAATTAACCATCCACATGGAAATAATCTCAGCTATAAGATGGGATAAAATAGTATCAACCTCATAGTCTGACTGTGGGATTAAATGAGACGCAGAAGGTAAAGCAGTTAAAATAGTACCCAGTAGGTGATTCACATACACATGTCCATGGCATATTTGTTCATAATATTCCATAACTAGAAACAATTCAACTGTCCATCAACAGAAGAAAGGACAAATATTTTGTGGTATAGTCATGCAATGGACTACTTACTCAGCAATAACAAGGAATTATCTGCTGGTCCAAGTAACAACTAAAGGCTCTCTAGTAGACATGACTTTGAATGAAGAAATTAAATACAGAAGAATACACACCTATGTGGTTCTGTTCATATAAAGGTCAAGAATAGGAAGCACTAAGCTAAGGGGCCAACACGAGAGTGCTGGTTGTCTCTGGGCAGTGGGGAGAAAGGATTGATTGGAAAGGACCAGAGGGATTTTCTTAGTGAGAAAAATGTTCAAAAACTTCATAGGCCTGTAGGTCACACATTTGTCAAAATGAAAAAAATATCCACTTAAGATCTGTGTGTTCACTGATGTCTAAATTATTCCTCAACAAACTGTTTTCAAGTTGCAAAATTGTCTAAAATAAAGAAAAGCATCCAGGCACAATGGCTTATGCCTGTAATTCCAGCACTTTGGGAGGCGGAGGCAAGAAGATTGCCTGAGCCTAGGGTGAGACCTCAACTCTACGGTAAATCAAAAAATTATCCAGGCATGGAGGCACACGCCTATGGTTCCAGTTACTTGGAGGGCTGAGGCAGAAGGATTGCCTGAGCCCAATAGGCCGAGGCTGCAGTGGACGTGTTCATGCCACTGTACTCCAGCCTGGACGACAGAGTGAGATTCCAATCCAAATAAATAAATAAATAAATTGAAGAAAAGCCTACAACGAATGCTTTTTTAAAAATGTGGTGACCAACCATGTTGCCTATGGAAGCTGGATTGGATTTTTTAAAATGTGGTACATATACACAATGGAATATTATGCAGCCATAAAGAAAGAAACATATGGACTTCGCAGCAACTTGGATGGATTTGGAGTCAATCATACTCAGTGATCTATCACAGAAACAAAGAACAGAATACCACATGTTCTCATAAGCAAACCTTGAACAATTATAATACTACAAGAAAGCGCTTGGCAGTAGTGAGAAACTGTCAGGGGAGGGGGATGGAGTTGGCAATTGGAATTGCTAGGGGAGAGAGGGTGATACCTCATCAACAAGGGTACCTGCATAATCAACGCTTGTATACCTTACCCTAAATTGTACCCCACATCTTTATAATTTAAAAAAGTGTTGTGAAGGTGACAATGCAGGAAGGAAGAGATATTTAATAAAACGGAAGTTAAAAGAGAACCAGTAGCCTTCTATTGTGTTTACATTCACTTCCACTAAAACCTTAAATTATACTTTTATGCCAAATGGCCCTCAAAATGACCAGAAAATTATTACAATTTGGATGGATTTGGAGTCGATCAGACTCAGTGATCTATCACAGAAACAAAGAACAGAGTACCACATGTTCTCATAAGCGGACCTTGAACAATTATAAAACTATAAGAAAGTGATTGGCAGTAGTGGGAAACTGTCAGGGGAGGGGAGTGGGATTGGCAGTTGGAACTGCTAGAGGAGGGAGGACCAGATCTGGTGAATAGGGAGACTGTGGCACTGGGATCGTGCTGCTATTTGTCAAAAACTCAGTGCAGTGTGGGCAGTTACACTCATAAATCACCAATCATGAAATAGGCAAACGCACTGAAAGACTCTCAAAAAAAAAAATTCACTGAAGTTGAATGCAACAACACTAGCAGGTACACAAATGCCCATGGGTTCCTAGAACACTTACTTAGCAGGGCAAGTCTATACTACAAGGGGCTTGCCCTCCAAAAAACAATTCCAGGTTTTTTGGGGGTCCCCTCATATATAACTATATAGAGTTATGTCACAAATCAGTTCCTTGTAAAAGTGTATGCATGTATGTGTTTGTGTAAAAAGTGCCTGTGTGTGTATTTGTGTATATGTTTTTACGACTCGTGGAAAATTATCCAAAAGGACAAAGAACAAATTGATGAAAAGAAGAGGAGGAGGAAAGGTTATGGGGAATTTTCAATTCTTATTCTATATACTTCTGCACTGCTTAATTTTGTAAGAAGTGTCTGACCAGGCGTGGTGGCTCAAGTCTGTAATCCCAGCACTTTGGGAGGCCGAGGTGAGAGGATTGCCTGAGCCCACAGGTTTGAGAACAGCTTGGGCAACTTGGCAAGACCTCAACTCTACCATAAATCAAAAAATTAGCCAGACATGGTATTGCGCGCTTGTAGTAGTTCTGGCTACCTGGAAGGCTGAGGCAGAAGGATTGCCGGAGCCCAGGAGGTTGATGCTGGGGTGGTCGTGATTGTGCCACTGCACTCCAGCTTGGGAGATGGAGTGAGTCTCCAACTCAAACATACAAAAAAGGAAGAGTCTCCTATATCTATAATTTAAAAAGTAAAAGAATTAAAATATATAAAGACAGAAAAGAAAGGGACCTTACCTGTTCTGGGCTCATGTATCCCCTAGTTCCTGCATTACGTGTTCGCTTTCCATCATGTTTCAGGGATGTCACAAGTCCAAAGTCTCCAATCTTTATTTGTGCTTCATCTACTAAAAATATATTACTTGGCTAAAAAAGAAAACAATATTTAATGTATAAATACCTATTTGACATACTATTATTAAATGTCCAAATCATATTTGGCAAAGGCTATTTTTATATTTCCTTATAAGACCTTTATCCTCATGTAGGAAGCCCCTATCAGGGAAGTTAATATAATGGGTCTTTAAAATGTCAGCTGAAGGATGGAAGTTAGGGAGTTCCCCATCCCAAGACAGGGCAGAACGTCCACTTGAGGAAATGCTACAAATATGAGTCCCGGATCTGATAGGGATTGGGGGAGACACCTGAAAGGTCCCTTCTGATTTTGAGATGCCCTGAGTGGGTCCATTCCCAACAATACCACAGATCATCTCATGCAGAATTTCCCCTGAGGATCTTACTTGGGTCAAATTCTCCAGACCTCTGACAACTCCTTAACAAACACATCCCCTTCACCTTGAAAGACTACCATGTCCACTGGAAGTTGATGACTAGCTCTGAAATATTTATTTCATGCAGTTCTAAAATTTTATAATTGTTTTTAAAAGAACAGAATGAGAAGTGCTCAAGCCTATTCCACCACTTTGTAGCAGGTATTGACTAATAGTCTAAAGACCATAAAAACAGGAAGGCAGTTGATGTAGAAATTGGTATTTTGCCATTCTTAAAAAGGTTAGACTTTCAATACAATCTTAAGCTACACACACAGAGAGAGACCCTTTGAAATAACACACTTATGAGGGGGTCTGTAAAAGAAACTGTGAGGGAAGAGACCCTAAGCCCAGAGAAGGCTGAAGGAGGAGCCTTCAAGAAGCCAGTCTGAGATGGTCCATGCAGAAATGGGTAGATAATTAAATCAGAACTTGATGAATATACTGGGACGATACCCAGAGAAACTCAAAGTATTCCCAAAAAACATGTTTATTGCAGCACTATTCACAATAGCAAAAACATGGAACCACCCGTGCTGCCCATCAAAACTGGACTGGCTAAAAAAATGTGGTACATAGACACAACGGAATATTACGCAGACATAAAGAAGGACAAACATAGGAACTTCACAGCAACTTGGATGGATTTAGAGTCTATCATACTTAGTGATCTATTATAGAAACAAAGAACAGAGTACCACATGTTATCACTCATAAGTAGACCACGAACATTTACCATAATACTATAAAAAAAAGATTGGCAGTGGCAGGATACTGCCAGGGTGGTGGGGGACACAGCAGCAATCAGGGTACATGATCTCAAACCAGGTAAAGTGAGGACCAAAGGGAGGCCCAAACTTTACCTGTACAATGTCCACTTGTATACCTAATCCTAAATTGTATCCTACATCATTTAAAAAAATTGTATAAAAGGTCTTTAAAGGAATCATTGAGATAAGAAAAAGGAAGTTTAAAATATAAATATTGAAAATAAACAAACTAAAAAGAATTCAGTGAACAGTTACACTGGAACCTAATGCCAATAAATGCCAATAATACAGATGGAAGGCTGTGATCTATGAGGGGTGAATGTGAGAGAAAATGCTCCGATGCCATGTTCAAGTTACATCGAAGACACACATTGGATTTGCAAGGGAAACCGCTGGTCCGGTGTGAGGCTGTCACCTGACTCTGAGAAACAGGATGTTCCATGTATGATGCTTGGTAAATATCTACACTGGATGAGACTATCTCATAAACATATCAGATCACTTTTTATAGTTCACTACAAAGAAAAACAATAATGCCACATATTGTCTGATAGGCTACAGTATGGTTAGACAAAATGTAGGGTTATAGAGCATGAAAAACTTTATATAGGAGACAAAGGAACAAGGGCAGATGCTCAGGTTGAGACTGATCAAAGAGCCTGGGCCTATGAGGAGATGAGATCTTCTAGAGAGAAGTCGCCTCGGACAGGAATTCCTCATTCCAGAAACCTCTGTGTCCCTCACCAGCACCTAAGGTCTCATTCTTAAGAGTCCAACAGTCCTAAACACTTGGAGAATTTTATAAGAGGGGCTGTGTTGCGTAAAGACCTCTTTCTGCAAAGTCACCTACAGCTGTTCATTTGCAAAGCATAACCCAAAAGTGTCAGCCTTCATTTGTGTCTTCTCTCAGAGGAGAGAAATAAGCAACTGTGGCAGTGAGAACTAGAAGAGTTATAGAAGATGCAAAAACTCGGGGTTAAAGTCTGACTTTTGAGCAACTGCAACCTGGGCAAAAGTTCCCTTCAAACCAACATAAGAGCAGATCAGTCCATAACACAGGGCACAGACAGTGCAGGGTACAGGAGGGAACCAGTCGACTTCCTTCATTCACTCTTTGAGGGCCAGCAAGTGTTTTTTTTGTTGTTGTTGTTGCTTTGCTTTCTGAGTTGGAGTCTCACTCTGTCACCCAGGCTGGAATGCAGTGGCACCCTTAAGGCCACTGCTGCCTCGACCTGCTGGGCTCAGGCGATCCTTCCACCTCAGCCTTCCAAGTAGCTGGAAATACAAGCACATGCAACCATGCCAGGCTAATTTTTTTATTTATTGTAGAGATGAGGTCTTGCCAAGTTGCCCAGGTTGGTCTCAAACCTGGGGACTCAGGCAATCCTCTCAGCTCAGTCTCTCAAAGTGCTGGGATTATAGGCGTGAGCCACCAGAGGGCCAGCAAGTTAACACCTACACTTCTACATTTACTTGCAAAGTGTTATGTATGTAAACAATTGTGCTTAGTTTGCTATTTAACTACATGTGAAGGTATAGCCACTCTACATTTATCCTTTTGAACACTGTCCTGATGACGTTCCAACATCAAAGAACACCTTCAGATATAAAGAGAGAGATGGGAACCAGGCGGACTTGAACACCAACACATCAGAGGTCCAGCCCCTGGGCAGACCCAAGAAGCAATACCTTGTAAGGGCCACTAATTCCTACCTAGGCCCAACAGACAACCCTATGCATGGACACATCCTTTTCTGAAGGAGCTCTGTGCTTCACTCTGTGTTCCTGGCTGTGTTAGAGAGGAGGAGTAAGCAGAGGACCAAGAGGCACATAGAGAAGGTGCCCCTGCCCAGGACAGAAGAAGACAGGTCCAGGGTGAGCAGGAAAAACTAAATACAGGCTCTGGGGGCCCAGGGGACAGGCAGAAGAGCACCCTGTCAGAGAAGAGCAGGAGGCCAAGTCCAGGGGTAGCACTGGGCACGGCCAGCGTGGGAAGGAAGTAGGCACATCACAGGGAACAGGACAGGAGAAGCTGCGGAAGGCTTATGTCCCATTCTTTTTTAACTTTGATGAGAAGGAAAAATTGGAAAACTGCTTGACCAGACCAGGAAAGCCCGAGGAAAGCAAAAATAGGAAGGAGTGATACATGGTTCAAGTTCTGGATGATTGTAGTTCCCATATCATGCGGCTGAAATGTATAACCAAGAAAATATTAGACTCTGAGGCCAGGAGCTGTGGTTTACACCTGCAAACCCAGCGCTTAGGGTGGCCAAGTCAGGAGGATGGTTTGAGGCTCAGGAATTCAAAATCAGCCTGGACAACATAATTAAGCCCCATCTCAAACAAAAACAAGAAAAGAAAACACTAGACTCTGGACCCACTTGCTGTGAGTGTCCTAAAAAGTATTGACTGAGAGATTAGGGAACCTTGTTCCCAAAGCCACAGGCAACAAACCAAGTCCCTTCTGCCTCTCAACTAAGCCTGAGTAGCAGCAGAGGAAGGGACAGAGCAGCCATTGGCTGTGCCCGCCACAATCATTAACTGCATAGAAAGATCCATTATGTGAAAGCTATTAGTGTTTACCATGACTGGGGTGTGACTATCAGCCAAACAGACCAGAAGTGGATGAGCCTTCCTGCAGGGCTCATTGTCAGAGGAAGGTCACAAGCCCTGGGGAATCTTCCGAGTGGTTCTGTGGGATGGTATTTGGGGAAAGTTGTAGACCCATCCTAACCTCCGAGGATCAGAGGTATCATTTCCTCATAATTATGAATCACAATTCTAAAACTAGGGAGGACAGATTTTAAAATCACCAAATGACATTTATCAACTAACAGAAGGCAGCTTCCATTTACCTTAAGATCTCTATGAATTAAGTTTTTTGAATGTATGTAATCCACTCCTTTGACTATCTGTTCAAAGATTTCTAGAGCCAAAGCTTTTTCTGGTGTCTTGCCTCTTCTATCATGGATCCATTGCTCCAATGTCCCTCTATCACAGAATTCCATTTGGATGAAAAGGCATCTCGTCTGTGATCTGGATATAAAATTTGGGATATATTAAAAGTAACAATTAAGACACATTTATGAAAACTACATTTCCTTAAAAAAATTATGGCTCATCTTCTTAAAAACCCCCAAACATGTCTCAAAACAAATCTGAATCCACTAAGTTAATTTGAATCAAAATATAAACCATTTTTTATTTAAATCATAATATTCCAGATGTCCAGAGCTTTAATTCTTTAGTTAGTTTATAAAGTATGAGACTACCTATTCTCTTGTTTTGTTTTTTTTTTAATCAGAGTCTTACTCTGTCACCCGGGCTGAAGTGCAGTGACATGATCGGGGCTACCACAGCCTCGACCTCTTGGGCTCAGGCCATCCTTTCGCCTCAGCCCCCTGAGTAGCTGGGGTTACAGGCATGTACCACTATGCCTGGCTAATTTTACTTTTTATTAGAGATGAGCTTTTACTTTGTGGTCTGTGCTGGTCTCAAACTCCTGGGCTCAAGCAAGCCTCTCACCTCAGCCTCCCAAAGTGCTGGGGTTACAGGTGTGAGCCACTGTGCCCAGCCATATTTCCTATTTTTTAATGACCTAAGTTGGCCTTGATATTTATTTATATTATTTGTTTCTTTCATATTATTTATTTATTTTTACTTACCTTGATTCGTTGATACTGTTGTCAGTAAAGATATCACTGTTCTCAGAATTGTCATCACTGTTCTCAGAATTGTCATCACTGCCCTTAGAATGGTAATCACTGCTCTCAGAATGGTAATCACTGCTCTCAGTGTGGTAATCACTGCTCTCAGGATCATCATCACTGCTCTCGGAATCTGGATAGTAATCAGTTCCTTCCCAACAAGTATGGTAGCGAACGATGTTCACATGGCTGAGCTGTGCCAGTGCTTTCACCTCTCGTTTCACCTTCCTAGTTAGAGGAACAGGGAACAAGGAAGTGTCGGTCAACAGCCACAGAACCCTTCCGGGGACAGGAGACAGCAATCTGCATTCCCCGATGACATAGTTGGTGGTTCCCACCTGCATTTTAGAATGACAGCCAGGAGACACAAAAGGAAGGCGTGAACACGAGAGAACGCACAGCTGCCGTCACTCTCCACAAAAAGGAATAAGCAGTGACTTGAAAAACGCCCAACATCAGACCATTTAGCCATCATCTGTAAGATGTGGTGAAGGCAGGTATATGAAAATCCAATTGAAGCCAGGCTCGGTGGCTCAGCCTGTAATCCCGCGCCTTTGGCAGGCTGAGGTGAGTGAATTGCCTGAGCCCGCGGGTTCGAGACCCGTCTGGGCAACTTGGTGAGACCTCATCTCTACAATGAATCAAAAAATCAGCCAGGCGTGGTAGCGTGCGCCTGTTGTTCCAGCTACTTGGAAGGCTGAGGTGGACAGATCGCCGGAACCCGGTGGATCGAGGCTGCGGTGCCGGGAGCAGCCACTGCACTCCAGTCTGGGTGACAGAGTGAGACTCCAACTCAAAAGAAAAAAAAAAAAAAGAAAATCCAATTGAATTAAATTGCTTCCTCTATAAATAAATAAATGAGTCTTCAAAAATAAATAAGTGAAAATAAAAATCATTTCTAGTAATCTTTGAAGTGTCAGTGATGCAATTTTTAATAGTTCAATCGTACACTCTGTTTTATTTAGACTTGAGTTAACATCTTTGGATTTCTCAAACAAACCCCAGACAGGCAGCAGGATTGGGGAACCCAGGAAGCAGGAAGAATGAAACTTAAGGATTTTCAGTGTGAGGCAAAAATACACAAAGAATAATTTATGCCCAGAAACTGACACAGTGGGAGCCTTATAGGAATGTGTTGTCAGATCTAAGACAATTTCATGTTAAAGGCAGTAAGTAAATTTGAGATTGCAGAAAAGGGAAAAGAGATGCAAACATTTTACAATTTTATTTTTTAAATTGAAAGTTCTAAACTATATGACTTAAAATTTGTAAAAATTAAAGTTATGGATACTTCGACAATCATAAAACAATCCGTTATTATTTTGGATGTTTTTGTTTTTGTTTCGAATTGGGGGTCTTACTCTGTTGCCCAGGTTAGAGTGCAGTGGCACAATCATGGCTTACCACAACATATACTGCCTAGGCTCAGGAGATCTTTCTGCCTCAGCCTCCTGAGTAGCTAAAACAATGGGTACTCACCTCCATGGCCAGATAATTTGTTTTTATTTTTAGTAGAGACAAGGTCTCACTATATTGCCCAGACTGGTCTCAAACTCCTTATAACTTTCATTTGTAATGGCTGCAAGACAGCTATTGATCAGTGAAGAGAAGAAAGCATATTAAATCATTGCTTTATTGCTGGTTATTTTGTTTGTTCTAATATTTCACTGCTATAAATTATGACATTTATGTCTTCTCATATATAGATCCATAACTTGGATAATATTCTTAGAAAAGGTTCCTAAACAGGAAATCCTTGGGACAAAGTACATAAACATTTTTATGGCTCCATATTAATATTTCCAAGTATATTTTTAAACATATTGTACCAATTTATAAGTCACTAAAGAAGTCCAAGATACTGCACCTTAATCAACATTATTATATTTTTTTTTAGATAGAATCTTACTCTGTTGCCCAGGCTAGAGTGCAGTGGTGCGATCATAGCACACTGAAGTCTCCATCTCCTGGGCTCAAGTAATCCTCCTGCTTCAGTTTCCCAAGTGACTGACCTGCCAAACCATGCCCAGTTGATATATATATATATATATATATTTTTTTTTTTTTTTTTTATAATCAATATTTTTTATTATGATGTTGTAGGGTACAGTTAAGGGTTAGGTATACAAATACGTTTCACCAGTTAATTTTTTTTTTTTAATTTTTTTAAAGGCATGATTTCATTATGTTGCACAGCCTGGGCTCGAGCACTTGGCTCTAGTGATCTTCCTTCCTTAGGCTCCCAAGTATCTGAGATATTATTACCATTTACAAAAATCAATTTTATTGTTATTTTTTTCTTTTACAAACTGTTGGGTCGCGGGTAGCCTTTCAATAGATCACAGTAAAGGAACAGCTGTCCTGTACCATTTCCTTCCATTTGAAATTGCTATCTAATGGGGGGAACAATTGTACTTCATTCCTGTTAAGTAAAACGACAAAGAAGGAAAAAGTCTTGTGTTGATGCCACATAGGTAGGAGGGTCTCTCACACAAGGCATCTCTCACCTGTCCCTGGGGCAGGAAGCACGATTGTGTGCCTGGGAGGAAGAACATCTGGCCCTCCGAGCCTGCTTCTCCTTTGCTCTCACCCCTTCCTTAGCCCAGGTCACTTTCCATCTCCTTTTCTAGTCTCTGAAGGATCCATCTGGTGAGCTACATATGGTGACAATGGCCAGAGGACAGCAAGCAAGACTGGGGAGCTGGTAAACCTGTGACAGAAGACCTCCCTTCTGTGATTTCCTTCCTGAAGGACTTCTAATCCCAGCGCAGAGGGGTTCTAAGTCTCCACTTTCTACATGGGAGATGGTGTCCAAAGACGGTCATGCTCAGTTCTTTCCCTCCTCACACCACACACCCACGCCTCAAAATTCCAATAGTAGAGTCTATCTGCCTTCCCCTTGCATCTGAATGGGCTTTAGTGACCTTTGTTAACTAATATAACATGGTGGAGGTGATATTCTGGAACCTCTCAGACTAGGCCCACAGAAACCTTGCCATTCCCTCCTGGTCTCTTGGATGACTGTTTGTGGGGACAATCCTTCTTGAAACCCAGATGCTAAGTTGTGAGAAGCCCAGGCCACATGGAGAAGCCGTGTGGAAGTGCTCCGGTTGGGGGTCCCAGCAGGACTTGCAGTCCACAGCCAGCATCAACTGCTAGCCAGCTTGGCCATCCACCCTCATCAGGCTTTCAGATGATTCCTGACTGCAGACACCTGGGAGTCCTAAGTGAGAAGTGCCCAGATGAGCACAGTTAACTCACAGGGCCATGGGCGATAACAATGAATTGCTGTTTTTAAGCCACTACATTTTGGAGCAGTGTACGAGGGGGGACCCCAAAAGACATGGAATTATCTTTTTGGAGGATGGGTCCCTTATAGTACAAGCTTTCTCCACTAGGCAAGTGTTCTAGGAATCCATCGCATCTGTGTGCCTGCTAGCATTGTTGTGAGAGGTTCTGTTTGGAATCACTAAATTTTTTAGAGATTCAACCTGTTTGGTGATTTCACAATGGGTGATTTACGAGTGCACCTGCTCACACCATGCTGCGTGTTCAGTAGTTTTTGACCAAAACATCAGGATCCCGTACCCTACCTGCCCTATTCACCTAATCTCGCCCCCAAGTGACTTTTTTTCTTTTCTCTGGATGAAAAAATCCTCAACACACACACACACACACACACACACACACACACACACACACACGCATTTTCCCAAAGTGGAAAGAGGTAAAACAAAAAACAGCAGAAGCAGTAAAAGGCATCAAAATTGTTGAGCTCAAAACTGTTAAGGGTTTCGATAGGTGTATTGCATCGAACGGAGAGTACTTTGAAGTGAAATGAAGTTTAAATACACAGTTTTCTATAAATTCCAGGTCATCCCCCCGCCTTGTATTATGCACTGACAGACAACCAGGACAATTACCAACTAGCTTTGACCTGAGACATACCAGCTCCCATCTTTGGCTCTCAGTCTTTTTATCCGTAAAATAAGGAGGTGAGACTAGACTCTCTCAAAGGTCACCTTAAACCATGACTCTATAGCTTCAGTCTTCAAGACAGACTCAAGTAGATGATCAATGGTAGATCCATTTTTTATCAAAATAACCACAGTAAAGTGAGATCACTTCACAGTAAGCCAAGCTCCTCTCAGGGGAAAGGAGTAAATAACACACTGACAAAGAGACAAACATAAAAATGAACAGAGCAGGTTCACCACACCTTCATGTTCCAAAAAAATAAAACATGTATTACTTACTCGTTGTAATAGTTAACACGTTTAATAACGTAGGTCTTTCTGTCAATTCTGTGTTTTGCTTTAAAAATGTGGCCAAATCCACCTATGCCGATTGGTTCTATTTCTTCAAAATCGTTGGAAAACCTTAAAGATAAACACCACGGTTATTATGAGGTTCCATTTTTTTCCCTCTTTCTGCCATTTAACGTCACTTGAGAGATGAACTATATAAAAAACCCGATTCTCTCCTTCTGAATAAGAAAAGTCCACTGGGCAGAAACTCTTAATTCACAAAGAGTCGTCCCTTCCCCGCCCCTGGACTCACCCCCTCAGCCTTCCACATTGAGCCCAACATAACAGATCACCCCTGGGAGTCACAGTCGCCTCCTGGCTGTTCCAAAGGATAAAGGATCCCATCCTTAGCACAAGACATTCTAAAGCATCACCAAGTTGTGCTCCATAGCACGCACCACGCCCCATGGGAGAAACACGCATGTGCTCTGAACCTGGCAGGGTTTATAACTCTATTGGGCCCCACTTGCCGTCCTCAGGCCCTGTGGATGCTACTTCAAAGACATCGCTGGCATCTGCCCCCTTTACTCCGCCTTGATATCTTCACCCCAGTCCACGCTTCCCTTGTTAATCGCCTTCCACCTCTTCCCCTGCTCTGCTCCAACCCACAACCCATGCAGCAGCCAGAGGGGTGAAAATGGGGTCTGGTAGCATTTCTCTGCTGTGGAAACTCCCCAGTAGCCAACCTCTGCTTGCAGCGGAAGGATCGCCAGAGCCCAGCAGGTCGAGGCTGTGGTGGCCGGGAGCGGCCATTGCACTCCAGTCTGGGCGACAGTGAGACTCCAACTCAAAAAAAAAAAAGAAAAGCCAAGTGGCCCAGGAGGTGCCACTAGATGTGTACCCTGCCTCCCTAGGCAGCCTTGTCCCCCGGCGCTGAGCTCTGGCTCACTGTAGGCACAGACGCTCCTTCTGTCTGTTCTCAACACTCACATCCTATTTCTACCTCCATCCTCCTGCAGGCCCTTCCTTCCACCTCGCACACAGCCTTCTGGCCTCATCCTGGCGGCCTCTGCACAGGTGTGAGCTCAGAGAAGCCTTGCCTCATCCTCACTGGAAACCCAGAAACCCCGCTTCCGTTTCTCTCCCTTTCGGAGTTCTGACCATCGTCGACCCTGGCAGATTTTTTGGGTAACTGTTTCTTTAATGGCAGTCAACCCCATGAAACCCCATGAAACCCCATGAAACCCCATGAAACCCCATGAAACCCCATGAAACCCCATGAGGGCAGGAAATGCCTCTACCAGTTCCTGCTACAAACCCACTGTCCAGAACAGTGCTGGTTAGATGTGAAGTGCTTGAAGTGTATGCGTTGATTCTTTACTGTGTTTTAAACTTATATTCAGTGCTCCCCTGTTGCAAACAGGCCTTCTTTGTTTTAGAGATTTCACCGAAACCCAAATGTATTGTCTACAGCAAAGGAACGCTTTTTTCAAGTGAAATCTGGCCTGGAACTAGAAAACAAATGTGGATCATTCTCAATCCTGCAGAAGTGTTTTTTTGTTTGTTTGTTTGTTTTGTTTTGTTTTTGCTTGCTTTTTAATTGCTGGTTTAGGGGAGTATTTGTCTTTAATATTAAAAACTTCCTTGGCCGGGTTTGGTGGCTCAGCCCGTAATCCCAGCACTTTGGGAGGCAAAAGCAAGTGGATTGCCTGAGCCCGCGGGTTCAAGACCAGCCTGGGCAACTTGGCGAGACCTCATCTCTACAATAAATCAAAATTAGTTGGATGTGGTAGTGCGCACCATAGTTCTGGCTACTTGGAAGGCTGAGGCAGAAGGATCGCCTGAGCCTAGCAGGTGGAGGCTGTGGTGGCCGTGAGCATGCTGCTGCACTCCAGTCTGGGCAACAGAGTGAGACTCCAACTCAAAAAAAAAAAACAAAAAAACTTTCATAGATGTCAGAGAATCCACATAAATGTCAGCAAGATCCACACTCATCACACCCTCGTAGAATTTGTCTAAATCTTACTTCACAACAGACAAAGGTCCTTCTTGGGCTTGACTCTGCTACAACAATTAAGCTATTCAGGTAGGAATATAATTAAACCTTAAAACAGGCCCCTATGAAACTTCTGGGCAACCCCTCCAGATCCCCTCCCACTGTGGGAACTTTTCTGTTTTCTCAATGAATCCTGTTTTCAAAAACAAAAACCAAAAAACTTCTGCTGAATGAGCAAACATATTTTTAGATAAATTCTCTTTCAAAGTTCCATCTTACCTTTCGTCCACAGTATGTATTTTTTCTTTCCTCTCAGGAGGGACAAATGTAGGTGCCAAACATCTAAAAGTTAAGAGAATAATGTAAGACTCAGATAAAACTGAAATCACCAGCCTAGGCAGCATAACGAGACCTCAGCTCTACAAAAGAAATAAATTAACTGGGTGTGGTGGCAGATCCTGGTAGTCCCAGCCATTCTGGAGGCTGAGGTGGAAGGATCGCCTGAGCCCAGGAAGTCGAGGCTGTGGTGAGCCATGATCGCGCCACTGCACTCCAGCCTGGGCAACAGAGTGAGACCACAACTCACAAAACAAACAAAAACAAATTCCCTGGAACAACTGTCACTTGTTTAGGGTATGTTTCATGCCTTGCACTAGGTGTTTTGTATTTTTGGTCAACTAGGAATAACAGGGCAGCAAGTGTTACCCTGTCTTTTTATAAAACTATGCCCTAAAATTTCTCCTCCAATAATTCGTGCCCAGAGTCTTCAGTCCACCAGGACCCTGTCAATCAGGTGGGCTTCCAAGGCTGGCTCCCAACACTCCTCCAATAATTTGCATCTCCTCTCTGGTTCCTTTCATCACCTTAAAGCACTCATTGTGGACGTGCCACCAGCCTCTCCTTTCTTCCTCTAGGGTCACAGTTGCTGGAGGCACATTTCCCTGAACCCTCATTCTGGCTCTCTTTTTTTTTTTTTTTTTTTTTGAGTTAGTCTTTCTCTGTCACCCAGACTGGAGTGCAGTGGCACACTCCCCGTCACCGCAGCCTCGACCTGCTGGGCTCCAGCAATCCTCCCCCCTCAGCCTTCCAAGTAGTTGGAACTACAGGTATGTTCAGTTTTGATTTACTGTAGAGATGAGGTCTCGCCAAGTTGCCCAGGCTGGTCTCAAACCCGCAGGCTTAGGCAAGTCACTCGCCTAGGCCTCCCAAAGTGCTGGAATTACAGGCTGAGCCACTAACCTCTGGCTATTTCTTACTGTTTAGAAGCCACCTGCAATTGCCTTATCAGCAAACACATCCAAATGTTATCTTCCCTCTCATCCCTCAAGTCTTCCAAATCCTCGAGGCCATCAGGGCCACGATTCCTGGCTGTGTTCCATTAAATGGATTGATCTTCAGTTTCTCTTCCTGGACCTCCTCTTCAGGCTCTTACCCAGATAGAGGGACTTGGTTCCCTCCAGTGTCACCTACTCCTCCTTGACCGTCTTTCTCACACATTCTCCCCCACGCAGCCCCGTCTTCTCTCCATGTGGACACCCACACCAGGAGGCATCTTTCTCCCAGGTGTCTGTCTGCTGCTCAGAACACACGGGGCTCACATGTTCCTGTTACCATCTTTCCCTCAGTTCTGACTCTATTTACATCCTTGCCTTTTTCTTCCGTAAAGGAACCAAATCGGCACAATTGACGCGACATTTGAGTTCTTTTCTTTTACTCATATTATTTATTTTCACCCTTTTTACTTGCCTGTAAAATAATGCACTCTTCTTGAAAACACCTCTCTAAGCCCATGCCCTAATAAGCCACATCCAAAACAATGTCTTTAATTACTCCAGCAACACCCCCATAGCGCTTAATGTCTGCAGTGTAGTGTGTGCATACATTCAAAGCTTTGTTGTTGTTGTTTTTGAGTCAGGGTCTCACTCTGATGCCCAGGATGGAGTCCAGTGGCATGATCACAGCTCACCACAGCCTCGACCTCCTGGGCTCAGGCAATTGTCTCATCTCAGCCTCTTGAGTAGCTGGGACTACAGGCGCATGCCACCACACCCCACTAATTATTTTTAATTTCTTTGTAGAAACAAGGTCTTGCTATGTTGCCAAGGTTGGCCTTGAACTCCTGGGCTCAAACAGTCCTCCCGTCTAGACCACCCAAGGGGCTGCTTTACAGGCATGAGCCACCACACCCACGCAGATTTTTTTCTTCTCTTTCCTTATGTAACTGGTTGGTTGTTGTGAGAAACAATCTCTGTTCAGTTCCACTCTATCCTTCATCCTCCCTTCCGCACACCTTGGCTCACTGCTGATATTCTCGGTAACTCTCAAGTTCTAGTTCATCCATCCCACTCAGCAGTTTCCCCAAATCCTGGTGTCTTCACAGTCTAGAGCCACACCCATTCCTTCTGATATGTGATACTTGTTCATTTAAATCAAACTTGAAGGACAAACGCCTGGACAAACAGCTTCCTACTCTGACATGGGTGGACAGCCCTTCTATGCACATGGCAGAGAGGGTTCCACACAGCTGCTGCCGTCGCGACCTCCGTGATGGGAAGATGTCTGCATCCTTCAAGCAGGGGCACCCTGGTCTCTCAGGAGTCCCGCAGACTAAGCCATCCTGATATATCTCAGAAACAGAGGATGACCCTAGTTTGATCAAATATAGTGGATGGATCTCACAGTTTTAGCAACTTAGCATCTTAATAAAAATTTAAAAGTTCAATTGCTTATAAGTAATATAAAACATTTCAGAATGTACCAAAGGGACAAAAATTTCTGGAAAATTAGACATGAAAATAAGCCTACTTTATTGCTTAGATACAATGTCACACAAAAAAAGCCGATGACATCTCACCTTTCGGGCCCTTGTTCTGTTGAGTCACGTTGCTCAAAATTCTTGGCTAGTCCTGCCATCTGGATATCTGTGTTAATGATGCCCACTAATTCTCACGGGATGAACTTCTGAAGTCTCCGCTGTTGTCAGCAGCATAAGACCAAATGCCTACAAAGAAAAACAATCTTGTCCAGTATAAATTACTAAAAAGACATAACCTTTTTTCTAATAAAATTACTAAATGAGCAATTTGAAGAATAACTTAGATGTTATATATTTCCTTGTTTATATTACCTTGAGGAAAATGTGACATATATACCTCCCTCTACCAGAAAAAAACCCACAAGGATATTTTTTGTTTGTTTGGTTTTGTTTTGGAGTCTCACTCCTTTGCCCAGACTGGAATGCAGTGACACGCATGCTCACGGCCACCCCAGTGTCAACCTTCTGGGCTCCAGCGATCCCTCCCCCTCAGCCTTCCAAATAACCGGAACTACAGACGTGTGCTACCATGCCTGGTTATTTTTTATTTTATTGTAGAGACGGGATCTCGCCAAGTTGCCCAGGCTGGTCTTGAACCGGCGGGCTCAGGCAATCCACTCGCCTTGGTCTCCCAAAGTGCTGGGATTACAGGCTGAGCCACCAAGCCTGGCCTAGGATACATTTTAACACTAGAAAAGAAATCACCAATTTCTTCTCATGGTTTCATTTAAAAAAGAAAGTCTATTTCCTTGGTTTTCCTTGCAAAGTGCTATAACACCTTGTTACGTGGGGGAGTTTTGTGTACCCTCTCTAAATCTCAAAAAACAAGGCAACAGAATTAGTGTAGAGCTGAACCCTGGATCAGTTTAATGAAAAAGATGAGACTGGAAATGGTAGCTCACACTTGTAATCCGGGTCCTTTGGGTGTCCAATGTGGGAGGGTCACCTGAACCCAGAAGTTTAAGACCAGCCAACTTGGACAACACAGCGAGACCTCGTCTCTACAAAAAAATAAAAAAGAATAATCTGGGTATGATGGTGCATGCCTGTAGTCCCAGCTATTTGAGAGGCTGAGGTTGAAGGATTGCTTGAACCCAAGAGATTGAGATTGCAGTGAGTCATGATCGTTCCACTGCACTCCAGCCTGGATGATAGTGAGACTCTGACCCAAAATAAAACAAAACAAAAAACAGGTCAACACATATTAGCATAAAGCTGTGTCCTGGATCACAGCTTAATGAAAGGAGGACTCTAACAGTGTCACGCCTACCATTGTTATCTATACCCTCTTTTTTTTTTTTAATCTGACAAAATCTGATCCAAAGTTTTTCTACTTTATTAATCTTGCCGAAGAACTACCTTTTGGGTTTTTTTTAAAAATCTTCTTTATTATTTATTTGCTACTTTTAAATTAATTTTTGCCATTATATTTTTTTCTTCTGCTTTTTGACTCAATTTTTTTGTTAACTTTTCACTCAGTTCTAGGACTTCAATAATTATGTGTGCAATATGCTTGAATATTTTTCAGTTGTGACTAGAGGGATGATATCTTAAAATTCAAAAGCATCAAGTTAAGAAAAGCATCTTGAAAACTAAATTTTTTCAAAATTGTCAAAATCTGACACGGGTCTTCTATTGTTTAACATGTGATCTATTTCATGTCTCATGTTACAACCATTATCCACTATCTCTTGGTTTATCATGTTGCTGTGCATAGCATGAAACTTCTTTTATTTTTACACTTCTCATGTTTTCCTCCTGTCTAGATGCCTATAGAATTCTTTCTCCATCCCTGGAACTCAGTGTTGTTCTGGGTAGTTCTGTATATTCCTGCCTCTATTGACCTGTTCCAATCTGCAGTTAAATATTTTTTTATTTCAGAAACTTTTTATTTTTCTTTATTCTTTTTTCTTTCTTTTTTTTTCTTTTTTTTTTTGAGACAGCGTCTCACTCTGTCACCCAGGCTGGAGTGAAGGGATGATCATGGCAAACCGCATTCTCAAACCTCTTTTAGGCTCAGGTGATCCTTCCACCTCTGCCTCCCAAGTAGCTGGGACTACAGGTACGCACCACCGCATTTGAGTACATTTTTTGTTTTGTTTTGTTTTTGAGTTGGAGTCTCACTCTGTCACGCAGGCTGGAGTGAAGTGGCATGCTCACGGCCACCACATCCTTGACCTGCTGGACTCAGGTGATCCTTCCACTTCAGCCTTCCAAGTGGCTGGAACCACAGGCATGTGCTACCACACCTGGCTCAGTTTTTGATTTATTGTAGAGACAAGGTCTCGCCATGTTGCCCAGTCTGGTCCCAAACTCCTGAGCTCAGGCAATCCTCTCACCTCTGCCTCCCAAAGTTCTGGGATTACAGGCATGAACCACCATACCCGGTGCTAATTTTTTATGTTGTGTAGAGACAAGGTCTTGCTATGTTACCCAGGCTGTTCTTCAACTCCTGGGCTCAAGCAATCCTTCTGCCTTGGCCTCCCAAAATGCTAGGATTACAAGTGTGAGCCACTGGCTCAGTCATTTATCTCTTAAACATTTTCTACTGTAGTATCTTCAGTTTTTTTTTTCTACATTTACCCTGTTCTCATCATCAGGGATACCAGTTGCACATATATTGGTTCTCCATTACCTACTCTCCACACACAATTGGCTCTCTGTATCCATGGGTTCCGCATCCCTGCATTCAACCAATCGTGGATCAAAAATATTTGGAAAAGGTATTTTTTGAAGCATTTGTTGTACTTTGTCTTTGTACTTCCACATAAAGTGAATAAAAGCATTCCTATGCTAATTTAAAAATAAATTTTGGGGGAAATAGAATGGTTGCATGTGTACTGAAAATGTGAAAACTTTTTTCCCTGTCATGATTCCCTAAGCAATACAATATAATGACTATTTACATAGCATTTGCACTTTCTTAAATAGTATGAGTAACCTAGAGATGATTTAAATTACATTCATGTGCTACATAGTGACTTTTTTTTTTTTTCTGAGTTGGTGTCTCACTCTGTCGCCCAGACTGGAGTACAGTGGCCACTCCCAGCCACCGCAGCCTCGACCTGCTGGGCTCCGGCGATCCTTCCACCTCAGCCTTCCGAGTAGCCGGAATTACAGGCGTACGCTACCACGCCTGGCTGATTTTTTGATTTATTGTAGAGACGAAGTCTTGCTGCCCAGGCGGGTCTCGAACCCGTGGGCTCAGGCAATCCACTCACCTCAGCCTCCCAAAGGTGCGGGATTACAGGCTGAGCCACCAAGCCCGGCTAGTGACATTTTGATGAACCATGAATAGCATATACAACCGTGGTCCCAAAAGATTATAGTGGAGAATCCCTGTCACTTGGTGACATCAAAGCCACTGTCAAATCACAGCACAGCACATTATTCATGTGCTTGTGGTGCTGCTGGTGTAAACAAATCTGAGCTACCAGTCGTAGGAAAGAACTGCACATACAATTGTATACAGTGCATAATTCTTGATAATGATAGCAAACAACTGTGTTACTGGTTTCTATATTTACCTTCCTATACTTTTAATCATTATATCATATCATATTACTATCCATTTTTAAAAAAGGAAACTGTAAGACAGCCTCAGGCACATCTTCTAAGAGGTATTCCAGAAGGTGCTGTGATCATAGGAGATAACAGCTCCATGCTGTCTTTGCCCCTCAAGATTTCCCATGGGACAAAGTATGGAGGTAGAAGACAGCTTTATTGATGACCATGACCAAGTGTAGCAGGCCTGTGCTCATGTGTGTGTGTCTTCTTTTTTTTTTTTTTTTTGAGTTGGAGTCTCTGTTGCCCAGGCTGGAGTGCAGTGGCACGCTCCTGGCCACTGCAGCCTCAACCTGCTGGGCTCAGGCGATCCTTCCGCCTCAGCCTTCCAAGTAGCTGGAACTACAGGCATGCATCTCCACGCCTGGCTCATTTGTTGATTTATTGAAGAGACGAGGTCTCACCAAGTTTCCAGAGCTGATCTCAAACCCCTAGGTTCAGGCAATCCTCTCGCCTCCACCTCCCAAAGTGCTGGAATTATAGGTAAGTCCCGGCATGTGTCCTAGTTTTACGAAAAAAGTTTTAAAAGTGAAATAAATAAATCAGTAAAGAATGTTTTAAATAGAAAAAAGCTTACATAATAAGAACAGAAAGAAAATATTTTTGTTCAGCTGTACTGTGTTTTATATTGAAGAAAAATATTTTAAATGAAACTGTATAGCCTAAGCACACCTTGTTTGTAGCCTACAGTGGTGTAGCAGTGTCTGAGGCCATTACATTCACTCACCACTCTCTGGTTCACCTGAGCAACTTCCAGCCCTGCAAGCTCCGTGTGTGGTAAGTATCCTACACAGGTGACCCTCTCCTATCTCCTTATGCTGCCTTTGTACTGTACCTTTTCTGCATTTACCCATGTGTAGGTACATGAACACTCACCTGTGTGTCCCAACTGCCTGCCATACTCAGTGCAGCATGCTACTCAGTACAGTAACATGCTACACAGGTGTGCAGCTGTAGTAATAGTCTAGACCACAGAGCCCAGGTATGTAATAGACTCTATCATCTAGGTTCGCGAGGTGCACTCTATGATCTTCAAACAACTATGAAATCACCCAACAACACATTTCTCCGAATGTATCCTCCTGGTTAAGCAACACATAACTGTCTGCAGGAGGACGTGTGTGGGTGATACACACATACTGTGCCATTTTACATGAGGGCCTTGAGCATCCGGGGATTTGGGTGTCCACAGGAGTCTGGAATGCATTCCTGCAGGTACTGAGGAATGATGGAACATCATTCTCCCCACCAATCACTTCCGTTTCATTTTTGCTTTCCACGGCTGGGGAGACCCTCCTTTATACGACCCATCTCAGGCCCCAAACATTCAGAGACTTTCAGAAGATTCCTTTTGCTCTAATAAAATGCACAATAAAGCCAATTTCTCCGAGATTTTCTGTTTTTCTTGTCTTTTTTTTATTTTTAGAAAGCAGGATTTATTGAGAGGACAATAAATAAACCAGAGAGGGAGGGAACCCGATGGGGTTGTCCCAAAATTTTCTGTTTTCAGAACTCAACTGGCCAGTGAAAAAAGAAGTCCTTCTCCTTAGCTCTGCTCTGCTTCCACTGAGTGCCGAGGACAAGTCTGTCCACCTGTTTAAGAGGGTGTGAAGGCTGCAGGCAGATAATTAGAAAGTTGTACGTCAAGAAGAAGAAGATTGAGAAGATATATGATAAGTGAAGTTGATAAAGTCATGACGGATTTACCTGAATGAAAATAGATTCCACTATGAAATCCCAACAATCAGCCCTCTGAATTTTGCAGAAATCAATTTTAGGGTGACCGAATTACTATTGTGACTAGTACTTCGATGAACACTGGTGTGTGCATACATATCTGTTTAATTATCTACATCAGCCGGGCATGATGGCTCAAGCCTGTAATCCAAGCACTTTAGGGGGTCGAAGGAGGAGGATCACTTGAACCCAGGAGTTCAAGACGAGCCTAAGAAACATAGTGAGCCGGGCTCGGTGGCTCAGCCTGTAATCCCGCGCCTTTGGGAGGCTGAGGTGAGTGGATTGCCTGAGCCCGCGGGTTCGAGACCCACCTGGGCAGTGAGACCTCATCTCTACAATAAATCAAAAAATCAGCTGGGCATGGTAGCGCACGCCTGTAATTCCGGCTACTCGGAAGGCTGAGGCGGAAGGATCACCAGAGCCCAGCAGGTCGAGGCTGCGGTGGCCGGGAGCGGCCACTGCACTCCAGTCTGGGTGACAGAGTGAGACTCCAACGCAAAAAAAAAAAAGAAAAGAAAAAGAAACATAGTGATACCTCCTCTCTATCAAAAAGTTTTTTTAAAAAATTACCAAGAATGGTGGTATGCGCCTGTAGGCCCAGCTACTGGGGAGGCTGAGGCAGAAGGATTGCCTGACATAGGAGGTCGAGGCTGCAATGAGCTGTAATCGTGCCGCTGCACTTCAGCCTGGGCAACAGAGTGAGACTCCAAATCAAAAGGTAATAGTCCCTACTTACACATATTTGGGGTTGCTACCTAGAAGTGAGGCTGAATCCTGTGATATTTCTATGTTGAAGCTTTTGAGGAACCACCCAAGTGTCACCAGTCCTCAGTCCTTGTTGCGAGGCTGAGTGGCGTTTGAAACGGCTGCTTCTCCCCCTTTCTTAGCGGGGTCTTCTGGGACAGCCAGCAAGCAGTACTCACAAGCTACTGCCCTTCTGACTCCCTTCCCAGTGCTCCTTTCATCCTTTCTTCTAGAGAATGCTGTGTCTCAGGGTCCTGGGTCTTCCCCTTCTGTACCCTCACCCACCTCCCTGGTGATCACCTCCAAGTATGCGCCTTGACATTCCACCTGCACCATGGTGCTTCTCAAACTCAGCCTCCACCAGGGACTCTTTCCTGAACTCCGGAAGTTCTCTCCAACCTACTCTCTTGGCTCCACCCCTTCTGCTGCCTTTGACTGGTCTGCTCCTACTTACTGCAGATCTCAGTTCAAAGTACCAGACACTCTTTCATGGCTTTTGTCCCCTTCGTTAAAATGGCTTAATAGTTGGGATGGGGTGGCTCACAGGAATTTTGTCCATCTCACTAATGCCCAGAAATTACTTCAGCTGCAAATTACAAGCTGCAAATTTCCAAACTGCAAATTACAAGCTCCCAGTGGGCTGAGCCCCCATCTGGGCCCCCACAGGGTTTCACGGAGAGTATGCATCCAACGAGCACCTAATTACAAATGAGTAAACCACAGGTCAAGTGTTTTAGGTGTTCAGGTTGAAATAGCCAAACTGGGCCAGGCTTGGTGGCTCAGTCTGTAATCTCAGCACTTTGGGAGGCCGAGGCAAGTGGATTGCCTGAGTCCATGGGTTCGAGATCAGCCCAGGCAACTTAGCGAGACCTCGTCTCTACAATCAATCAAAAATTAGCCGGCCATGGTAGTGCGCACCTGCAGTTCCGGCTACTTGGAAGGCTGAGGCGGAAGGATGACCAGAGCCCAGCATGTCGAGGCTGCGGTGGCCGGGAGCATGCCACTGTACTCCAGTCTGGGCGACAGAGTGAGACTCCAACTCAAAAAAAAAGAAAGAAAGAAAGAAGCAAACCAAAGGGAAAGAGCACAATCTGTCCAAGCAGAGAGCCTGTCTGTTAGCTTAAACCTGGCGAGGTGATTTTAGTGACTCACACCTCTAATCCCAGCACTTTGGGAGGCTGAGGCAGGAGAATTGCTTGAGACCAAGAGTTTGAGACCAACCTGGGAAACACAGTGAGACCTAGTCTCTACAAAACATCAGGAAACAAAATCTGCTAGACGTGGTGGTGGGTTGCTCTGATTTCTGACACTGGGTGAAGCGCAGGATAAAGGCGGGATCTGCCCATGCAGGTATCAGGGACAGGTGCTCTTCAGGAAGAAACAAGGCAAAGAAAGGCCAGAATCCGGAGGGGCTTGACTGTACCCAGAAACAACAAGGAGGCCTATGAAGCCACAGTGGAAGGCAAAGGGCCCTGGCTGTGGTCTCTAGTATGTTTCACAGGGTTCTGATAAGACCGGGAGCCACAGGGAAGGTCACAGCAGGGGAGGGTCCGGTTATGACTTCAAGGAGCACCAGCTGCTGATGTGCAGAGA